AATTATGGAAATATCTCTAAAAGTAAAAATAAATTAACCTCCCAGACATACCCAAAATATCCAGATAACCATGCACAGTCCCTACTTGGCTCTTTGGCTACTAAATTCACAATGGGCCTCTTATATGGAGTCCAGTTAGTTTTGATTAAATGTGACAAAACCAGCTGGCCACTTGATGTAAAACTGGGAAAATCAGGTCAAGTTACATGGTTCATGCAGGACCTACATGGGTCCTGCTTTTTATCAAGAACTGTTCTAAACCAAAAGTCAAGGTTACCTTTTTTGGGCCAGTTTCTTTCTTTTATCTTCGACTCCAAACGAAAATATATACCAAGCTTTAGGGCTGACAATAATAATTTAAATTTTGTGTCTTAAATTACAATTTCTATCATATTTCTATTATACTTTTCTTAGAAGGAGACTAAATAATTTGTAATGGTCATCAATCTAAATGATATTTAAGTGCTTGAAATATCATTTGTTAATAAAAAGATAGCTTTCCAACTATATATCCTGCTAACTGGGATGTTTACTTCACTAATAATCAATTTAAAAATTCTTGAACAAAGACTTCCTGCTCACACAGGAATGCTTTGTAATATGAATTACTGATTTGCCTAAACTCATGCTCATAGTGTTCCAATAACCTCTGCAGACTGTGCATGCTCTCGTGCAATTCAAGTCTGTTAAAGTATTCAGTGGTTTGTTACCACTTTTCAAGCATTAAATACAGCTTTTACTCTTTGATATCAGATTCATATTGACTTTGAGCCTATTAGGATATCTGCAGTGGTTTATCTTTTATAGAGAAAGTAGGTCTTTGCTTATACATGTGTCTTTGGTACAGTGTATGCTCTTAAGCAAAATTACCAGAGCCACTGACCAGATTTTGACATGGGTGGCCCCGATGGAGCAGGGTGAGTAGAGGATTCAGTGAAAATGTCTACATGTAGACTAGAGGACAAGAAGCATCTTAGCAGAACTGCATAGTCAGGTGACAAATGGTGCCCCTGGCCGGGCGAGCGCCAGAAATGGTCTCTTAATCAATCAGAGGTCAGCATGTAGGCTCAGTCCAGACTGCCTCCACAGTCAGCCATCTGACAGAACACTTCATGCCAAGCCAAGAAGCAGGAGCTCACACTCCAGCCAGTGCAGCAATATTAAGGGTATTGTTTTTTGCCTTTTTTATCCTCCTTTTTAAGATTAACCTCAGCAGCTTTGTCTAATTAGTCCTTCTGCTATTATTATTATTTTTTTTCATTTATATTCATCAGCTGTTTGGTTTGCAGCTTAGAGGTGGTCACGGTTAAACATCATTCTCCACTCTGGCCTGAGCCCTATCTAAGGCCTGCAGACCCGAACCTTGACTCACAACCATCTGGGTGAGCACTGAAGGCAGTAAATAACGGACGGGAGGTTAGCACACCTCTCTTGTACACTCATCTTAGGGCCAAGCCCACACATTCTGCTCTGCACCCTTGGGCCAACCCACTCACACCCCCTGGGGTTGACCTACACACTGCAGAGTCCCACAGGGAGCTAATCAGAAAAGAGGGAGTAGCACAGACCTTCTGTCTTCTGTCCACCCCTCCACCCTCCATGCACATAACTCTACTTTCCCACCATCTATCTCCCCATCTCTCAGTATCAACACATTCATCTGTCCACTCTTACTATCTGTTTAAGCCTCCCCGGCTTAAAGACCTTTGTGATTTACCCATCTGTTTCACTTTTATAGCTGCCATGTTTGCAGTTGTGTCTCCATTTAATCATTGCATCCCCTGCTACTTTGGAGATTATTGTTTTGACTTCTTAAATAAAAGACATGAGGAGATTTCAAGTCAAAGTACCATGTTGTTTGTCCAATAATTAACTTTTAGTGCCTTGCAAATGTCTCCAGATTTTATTGTGTTACTTGCAAATGGCTATCAAATTTTATGACAGTTTAACACAACAGAGCAACATAATGTAGCTCAGAACCTCAAATGAAAAACCTTTGAATTTAACAAGTAATTTAAATGTGTTTTAAAAATTTTTACCAAAAAAAAAGAAAATTGGAAACAATCTTACAAGCATTCGTATTAATACTCGCTAGGTTAATGCTTTAAAAAATATATTTTTTTAGGTATCCTTTAAAGGGCTCATAGAATGCAAAACTGAGTTTACATGGTCGTAGATCAATAAAGATATTTCAGTGGGCAAAATGGACGTACAGAGAAGTTCAAACCCCATCGACACCTCCTTTCTCTGCAAATCTCACAATTCTAAACTCCCACCATAAAACGGGTGAATTCAAAAGAAGCACCGAATTGACGGTAACAGACATCCCAAGTTTCCCAGGAGTCTCCTTGCACTGTAGTCGACCAAAATCCCAGAAGACTTTGAAAATCTACCCAGACATTTTTTTTTTAGGTATGAAAAGTAGGACATGTCCAGGAAAAAGAGGACGTCTGGTCACCCTACCTTATCAACAATTTCCATTTTTCAGTGAGTGAGTGCTTGTTGCTATGATGCGTCTTTGCTCAGCAGGTTTGCTCATTGTAAACCAACCAATCAGCGCACATACCATTTAAATATTCATGAGCATGCCATAAAAGGAAGAAATCCTGACATTTCATTCTAGGCCTTTTAACCAGGCTTGCATTAGGGCTCATAGAACCGCAAATATGTCATTTTCAGCCCAACCAATGTTACACACCCTATTCAGAGACCTTAAGGACCAGCACCAAATACCCTTTATAATCATTCTATGACCAATTTAAGAGCTTTTAACATTTATAGACTGACATTTTATTGCTTGTGTGTCTTTGGAAATTACATCAAGTATAGTCATAATACCAAATGCAAATGTATGGAACAATTGTTGCAAAATGAAAATTAAACCAAATATAATTTTCCATTCATTTCCAAATTATACTTTAAGGTGAGTGGATAAGAAATATGAACATTTGCAAGGTAAAAACTGTGTTTTTTGGAGATGTTCTTCCTGAGAAGGAAACTAAAAATCAGAGTTAAACAAAAACAAATACAGAAGCAACTGAAATACTATCAGATTGCCATTGAACAACAAATGAAATGGTCAATTCCCTGCAATACAAAGAGCAATCAATAAGCCAATTATTGCACACCCACAGGTCCATATATTTATTCATCCACTTTGACAGATACGACCTCCCTTTGCGGGGCACATTGATTTATCTATGCGATATATCCTCTCGTACGTAGAATCTCATGCTGATTCAGTCCCCGTAGGAGAGCGGGATGGCACACGGATGTAAGCAGGACTGACAGCGACACCAGAATGATTAGATGGTGCAGAGAAAGGCAAGAGGACACTGACTGAAAGTCACATAAACAAAGAAAGAAAGCACATCAGCCAAGATAACCTCCGTGAGATCAGACAATATTTGAGAACAACAGCATGTGGCACCTTTGAAGAAGAAAGGCCCTGTAAAAGAACAGACAGAATATTGTGAAGCCTCCAAGAAAAAAAAATGAGGAAGCAAGGGTGGAGCAAGCTAAGGCAAAAACATGCCAAACCAGGATCAGCAAGTATTGAGATGCAGATCAGAGTATTGGAGCGAATAATGGGGGATGTAAGGAGCGTGTGGACAAGGAAGTTCATGCGGGGTAGATTCTCACACATCTGCTAACCTGCTTCTCTAACACTGTGAAAATGGGCTTCCTTTGTCTGGTCTTGCAGACTGGACCGGAACGACTTGTCACTTTAGGTGACCACTTCACATTCACATGTAAACTAGAAGATACTCACACTGATGTTTACATAAACACAAAAAATGCATAAGTTGTAAAGCTGCTAAAAAAAGGTTAAATGAGAAGATAGTTTAGCTTCTAACTATTGTTGTCTTCATTTAAAATAAACCTAGTCCTTGGGGGATGAGCCCAAGGTTAGTTCAGTTTATTTTATTTATATAGCACCAATTCACAACACAGTTCATCTCAAGGCACTTTACAGTTCACCAGATCATACAGTCAAATTGATTCAAAGTTTTCTATCTAAACAAAACCAGTTGATTGCATCGAGTCACTCATAGTTGATGAAATGGGTCAAATATCTTCAACCCTAAGAAGGAAAACTGTTTTATGAACCCATTAAACTATGTTAATGTTAACATTGGGTGCTATTTACAGAGATGGCGACAGTTGCATAGGAAATGCTGGTAGCAGCTAGTGAGACTCCTCTGAAAATATTGCTTCACTGCCACACAGTGATGTTAAAGTCCCTGAAATGCAACATTTAGAACATCATCAGATATGTACTAATATGAGAGAGAAATGTGGTCCTATTAGTCACATTTAGATCATTTTAGCTGACATTAAGATTATAAACGTTAATTTTGGTCTTGCCTGTTAACTTATCATTGTTAACCTGGTGTAAAATGTTCGGACCTATGTCCTTTTTGAGAGATCATAACCTATCCCATATTTTAGAGTTGTTTGTGAATATGCAAACATAAGTGTGAAAATCAAGATCTTCTGATTTACCTTTAAATGTAAGAAAATCTTTCAATTCAAAAAAACTTTTTTGAATTTATTAAGATCGTAATATTTTTTATTTAGAAACAGAAAAGAGTAACTGGAAGGCATTGGTAAAACATTTACCATATATATTATTTTCTTTCAATTAACTAGTTACACAAAACTAGTTTCAAAAAAGAAAGCACCTAATGTTCAAGGAGAAAGAAATTTGAGCTTTTTATCCAAACATGTCCTAAACTGTTTAACTGACTTGACAAAACTCAGCTGAAATGATTTTAACAGAGAACCCTTCTTTCTGGATTGGAGTGGGGGGATGGTGTTTAAAGATTACGGAGGGGGGGTAATATAGGGTCACACAGCACTGAAATGGGGAGGGGGGGCAATTTTTCTTTCTCTCTTGGCTTTAGGAAAGAAAGGGGAGGAAGCCAGAGCAAGGCATAGAGAAAGAAGCCCAAACCAACCGAGGCGAGATGGATGACTGGGGGAGGGACTGGAGCAGGAGCGCTGCTTATTGGTAGGCTGCACTCCTCGCACTGGATGGATTGACTTCGCTCGGGTCGAATTACACCATTTGCCGTGCATTAGTTTGTTTTCCTCCCAGCCAGAAGAAGTTGATTCACTACGACGCGCAAGAGATTTCCCCGTTTTCTGGATTAAACCCTGCAGCGCGTAAAAGGATATAAAATAAACATTTCCGATGAGGTGAGTCCCTTGCAAATGAGAAGTGGATGTACTTTTGTTGCGCCACACTGTATGGTGAAAGTCGATGGGGGAGGAGGGGGGCTAGAGAGAGGTCTTTACCTTTAAAACTAATATATTCCTCCTGTCCGATAAGCAGTGCCGATCTGGGAAAACTGATGGTTGCAGGAGGAAGATACTGGGATTATCTTTAGTAGAGGTGGCAAAATGAATCTGCTCAGCTTGGAAGCGTCTTTCCATAGACTGTATAAGTGAGGAAGGATCACATTGGCTTAGATGGTTGCTTGTAAACTTTAGTGATATAACATAAATAACAGGAACCAATTATTGGAAATGTTAAAGGTAAATAGACCACATGGGTAGTCTGGTCAATGTGAGTCATTGTAGCTGTTTTTGCGCGCTGCTGGATAGTATAGAGGAGCATCGGTCCTGTTTGTGCCCTTCTTCTGGTTTCCAAAGTTAATCGTAGTGGAAGGGGCTGGTGTGTGAGAGAGAGAGAGGGAGGGGGGGCTGTGTGGTCGTGGCAGAGCTTTGAAGATCACTCATCAGAGAGCCAGGGGGGCCCCGGGAACGGAGCCCGAGTCAGAAGGCTCCTGAATGTGGAGATCGGAGCCGAAAAATCAGCCAGCGCATCTGGATGAAAGAGAGGGGAAAGAGTGGGGTTCTGGATGGAGCTGAAAACAACAGGAATATCAGGCTGGGCTTTTTTACGCACATGGATTATCAAAGGAATATAACATTCATTCGGAGTATCTCATTCGCGCGTCAATTCGGCTGTTTAAGGTAGGTCTGGTGTGATGTTTTTTATTTTTTTGTTTTATCAATAAGAATCTAATTCATTGGGTTTCAAATAGCCCTGTGCGCACATTAATTATTATTTATTTAAAAAGCCAAATAACATAAAATACGCATGTAATGAAAGTAATCCTAGTTGGCAATTTGCTGTAAAACTAACGCCTGGTTACAGCCCTTTAAATCCGTGCGTAATCTTATCTTCAAACGTCTTTTTCATTCATAAAAAGTCATTATTATATTTTGTATTATTAGTTTGAATCATACTATTATTATTTTTAAGTTAATATGATTAAAGTTTTTTTCCCCTAATTTTATTTTTATTAAACCAACTTCTGTTGGCTGTGTACGCATGACGGGAATGGCTGTTAAACAATAAGAGGAGATGGGCGGACAGTTACCAGGAAGGTGTTTCCTTTTCTGATGCCTCTGCTATTTTTAAAGCATTTTTTTCCTAAGCCATCTTCTTGCAGAATAGTAAACAGCAGAAGCGCTCCGACCCAAATAGGCGAGGAAGCCAAGCTGTGGACATGAATAAAGCGCAGTTAAAGAAAACCAAGCCCCATCACCGCTGTCACTCCACCGCTGTCCCCCGCGTCTTTGTTGTTCTTTTGTACGAGTCCAACATGTGGACTAAAGGGCTATGAAAGGATTTACACGGACAAAACTCGGATGCCTTTATATTCGGGTTTGCACAATGCATCCATTAGAGCAAAGGGTTGGATTTTGTAGGCAGGACTGGGATAAAAGATTCACACTGAAAGTGTGCAAATTAAGAGTGAGAGAAGAAATAGTGGGATCTTAAAGAGGAAGGTTCTTGATTATTTAAAAATATCTATTATATAAAGGGGGTAAATTTGATTAAAAAGCAACAGGAGGTGTTTTTTTTTACATGATTATATTTTTTCTAAATTGACAAGCTGCTTCTTAAGTTTGAATTAAACACAATATTAATGCATGATCTAAGCGCAGGTTCTATATCTGCCAACCTGTGTTCTCTTTTAGAAATAAACCCAAATCCCTGAAGGATCTGAACTCTTGCCACTGAGATCACAGAGCTTAGCTCATACAGTAATTACAAACTGGATGTAGGAGTGGAACGCCACCATGGCCAGTTCAAACATCATAACAAGCCACAGTTTTTTCCTCTTTTTCCAACAGCACAGCTGGTTGAGTGTCCGCCCTTGCCTGGCTGGACACAGGGTCAGAGCTCGGTGACCAGAACGACCACCGTTAACCTCCTTTAAAGCCGGCAGTAACCCCGGAACGGCCGCCATTAAACCATCCAGTGATCACTTTTAACCCTGTATGGTTTCCCTTATATCAGTGATTGTTTGGGTTAAATAGACAGAGCGGTAAAACTGGGACCATGTGTGAAACATTTGGCTCCAGTTTATTTGTTTAGTCATAACAAGTCCCCTAACATCCAATAAACATGGATCTGCTGGGTGGGGGGTGGGGCTCCATTGTGTTCTAGTGCCCAAAGCCCCCTTTTGTTTCTTGGTCACACCTGCAACTTAAAGCTTTTGTGTAGAACTACTGCTGAGAGCAGCCTTTCTCCTGTTTCACTCCTCTGCTCACCAAACTATTGAGGGCAAGTTAGGAAGCATGCATTGAGGGAGGCAAAGCTTCCCTTAATGACAAATTTCTGAAGCAACAAGTCAACCAAGCAAGTGAGAAGTAATTATGGTTTTAATAGCTGCTAGTTATGGGTAGTGCTCTCACTGCAGTAGGAAGGGAAAAGATAACTTGTTTGCCTGTTTGGTAGCTGCTCTAATCATCTGGCTGATTCAACCAGGCTTCATCTGGATTAATTTCCCGAGCCAAACGAGTCAGCAGACGAAAGCCAAGTTATAGGATGTACACAGCTTCAGGCCTAAAGTCACACACGCCTGCATGTGTTTTAAACATGCATAGTGTGTAGAGAAATGCCTAAAACTAAACTCCTGAGTTATCTGATTTCCTGTTATAAGTTCACAGCTCGTGTTGTGCGAGATGACAAGCCGAGGAGCCCTTAGCAGCAGCAGGAGCAGCTATTGTTCTGCTGGGATTACATCCACCCAACGCATTCACACTCAATTTACAAAATCTCACGCTCTGCTGTTGTTTTCAATCCTTTTTATTATTCCCAATTCCTCCCAGAAGTACCTCCCTGCAAAAAAAAAACAAAACACAACATCCATGCAGTGCCACATTAGAGGTGAGGTTCTTGTGCCAGTGAAAACCCCTAGCTAAGAGGAGGATAAGTGTTAATCTGTCCCTTTAAGCTTGAAAAATTAAAGCTGGTGCTGAAACCACCATAACTGGACCAGAGACCCAAGTCACCCGCTGTCAGCAGAAACAGAAATCCGACAGATCCCTTCCCCCCTCTCAGCCCCTCTCCCCATGCTAGAAACTGTGGACCGGAGCCAGCGATATCGGCAGTGAAAGTGCGTGGTTGTTGGACACTGAAAAGCCTGTAATAACAGAGGCAGAGCGAGGCAGCGCTGAATGGCACTGAGTTGCGTGACAAGCCGAGCGTCTCTAGACTTCTATGTGCATGCATGCACATACACACCTTCCTGAACACAGACACATGCACACCCTGAAGGGTAGGGACCAGAAAGCGTGAAGGCAACTGAAAACAAACTGCCGTCATAAGAGCATGAGAGTTCATTTTTAATCACTGACCTTACACTAAAGTTTCTATGGAAAGCTTTTGCAAAACTCATTGGCTGCAGCTGTAAAAGGAAGATTGTATTTTAGGTTCAGCCCGGAGGGTTTTTCTCATGGATTGTTTAGTATAAGAAAAAAAAAAGGTGTGAGTTGGAGTGCTTTTGAAGAGGCGACAAAGAGAAGGACTGTAAATTTTTGACAAGTCAGGAAATGATCTACCTGCGGATACCGCCAAGTTTGGGATATGTGAACAGCCTGCAGTTTTCATGAAAGCATTATAAAGTATAACTGCAGAGCTCAGTTTATTTACTTTTTATAGCTCCCCATTTTTTTTTTTTGCCATCGAGCATTTGGTATCTATTTCTGTCCGGTGTTTTTTCTTTGGAAACTCAGCAGTTTATTGCATTCGATTCTAAAATAGCACAAATTTCAATGGATGAGCATCAAAACCAGGTAAAAAATAAAATAAAAAAAAGATGTGATGCTTTTAAGGAAAACACATGTAGATTTATTTGTGGGGCAGTAATATTACTTCTCATTTACATTACGATTTTAACAGACGCTTGGCAAACCTCTGCGGCTCGTTTATGAAAGCATCCCTTTGGTCCCCATAAATCTACCAATTTCTGTTGAGACATCAAACCCCTAATTTAACTATTATGTGGACTGATGAAGCTTAAGCATCATCTCGTATAGGCATTGCATTACTCAGAGTTAATGACACCGCTCTTTCAAAGGCCTCAGTATCCCACAGAGTGCTGAATAGCCATGATTATACACTGCTTATGACTAAAACACATGGGCTTTACTCCGATTCCAGCTAACGACCCTCCTCTTTGATCATCCAGCAGTAACTGTTTAGATCAACACAGAATTAGGGTAGGAAAGCATCATGTTTTATATCAGTGTGTTAGAATAAAGGGGGCTTTATGTGCTCTGCATACCCACAGAAGGCTTTTGTTCTTAGAAAAAATCTCACCGTCTAATTGGAGAGTTGACAATCACGTGTCATAGGTTACTCGAAATATGCCAGGAGCGTGCGCATCAAATATGCAATTCTTGTGACAAGATGAAGTAATCAGATTTTGGTTTACAATGTCTTAACTTGGCTACAGTGATTGAGGTAAGGGCTATAGATTTTTCTTTTCTAGCTGCTGATCAGAGATGTTTCCTGTGTGGATCAATCAAAGCGCTAATGGCTTGGCGGGGCTGGGCTCACAGACAGCAGTGGAGCAGGTGTGCTTTGGGGCTAATTGAAAAATGAGTCAATACTTTGTGTGCTGGTGTGTGTTTTTATGCATTCGTGCTCCAGCGCTGTCTTTGCATTATAGCATTTGAAAGCATGATTCTGTATGTGCAGCCTGGGCATCTCAGTGGGCTCCCCCTGCTAATCCATTCCCATGCCTGTGTGACGTCTCCCAGTAAATTGTTTATATCCGTTCAGGCTTTACCTCCATGAATAATTTGTTTTCCTTATAAATATTTGAATGTACATCAGTCATTAATATGCACAGACACAGTCTGTCCCCAAAGTACTCTTCCATACACCAACTTACACACTTAAACTCCCCCCTGCCACAACCGTGATAAATTATTGCCAGTGTAGCCATTAACATAATATATCTGCAATCAGGCACGATGCAAACCATTGTCTAATAAAATTACAGCTCATCAAAACGACCCCATATGTTGTAATGCGGAAACAATTGAGGGAATCACTGTGCTGCAAGATTAAAAAAAAAAAAAAACAGAGACCAACCCCCCATAAAGGCTGGAGTGATCCCTGCCAGCAGAGTGCTGATAAAACTCTGCTAAGGTCAGAGCAGAGGCTGCGCTACCAGAGGTGATGAAGCTGCAATGTGGTGATTAGTGCAGGGTCTGGCCAAGTAAAACCAATCAGAGCACAGATGTACAGCGACAGCAGGCCCACCGCATTTCTCAAAGGGGGGGACTTCCGCTGCATCCAACACACACCGAGAAGCCCCACCAGTAAGTTGGCTGACCTTCCCTTAGACAGCAGATGCAGCGAGAGGTTGTGGGTGAAGTGGCCAAGCCTCGCCACCGACTACCCAGTCATCAATAAATCAGAGGAAGTGTTAAGTTTTTATCCTTATGTCATTAACCAAACTTTAGAAGCTTTTAGCATGCGGTGTTTCACATGCTTCTCATAGGATCAGAGTTGACCTCGCCATGGAGCTAGAGCATAAAATCTATTATACGTTGAAAAGTAACAACCATGCATTTTGTTAATGTCTCCAGGTAACATCTCCAGGATTGTGAAACAGGAAGTGTCGTCTGTGAGCAGCCATGGGCCAGGGAGCTGCGCTTCTGCTCAGCGAGCTTCTGCTGTTACTGGCAGCTTCACAAACTCTCCTTGCAGTCAGCTTCCCGGAGGACATCGTGCCCCTCGACGTTGTTGATGCTCACTGTGAGTAGAAACTGGCTGTTGTTCATATCACCTGCTGAAGCAGCCCTCCCTCCTGCCTTCTGACATCCGCTTTCTACTCATTTAACCTACCACACTGAATTAACACCAAATGCATGAAAAACTCATCCTTGTTGCTGTGTCATCAGTTCACTCAGTATGGCGCCATATTCATAAAATCACTCTGCTGTAGGGGAAGTTGTAAAAATGGGGGCATTTTATTTCCATTTCCATCATGCACTTGTACAAAAAAAGAAAAAGCAAAAACAGCAGTTAATGATATAAGGGTTTGAGAACTTGCACATTATATTATTTGTTTGTATCATGTTTTCATTGCAGATCAATGTATTAATTAAGTTTAAACTGAAAGAAGGGGTGAGATTTAATATGTTTCTAATGGGTGTGATTTCCCTGCAGTCACACGGAGGTACCCTGTGTTCAGAGGCAGGCCCTCTGTCAACGACTCACAGCATCGCCTCGACTTTCAGCTGATGACCAAGATACAGGACACGCTATTTATCGCTGGCAGGTATTTTTAACACACACACCTTTTCTATATTCCAATCTGTCGTCTTTCCCTTTTAAACCCCCCCCCCCAACATCAATATATTCAGTCACTGCTTGGCAAGTGAACACAAGCACCAGGGTGAAAAAGCTCTTAGTGTTATTGGATCTGTGGCTTCAAGATCTGATGTATATGGCTGGTATCGATTCAGTGAAGGCGTCCATCATGGCGGTCTGACGTGCTTTCAGGGATTTTTTGGCATCTTTACTTGTCTTTTTTTTTTATTTATGGGCAGTAGAATTAATGTGGCTCCTAGCACTAACATTGTAGCAGAAAATTACTTAAACATCAACAATATAAAGTGTTGCTCCACTAAAATCCCTGCAGCCACCAACACATGTTTGGTGTCGGGTGGATTCTATTCCTGACGGTTTGTGTTTTCAGTAAAAATGAAACAGGAAGTTTTTTTACCCAGGGCTGATCATAACTCATGCTGATGGCTCTTTTTGAAAATACATTATTAACATGAAAGTAAGTGCTAAATATTTGCTGTCTTGCTTTGATCAAAGTGTTTCAATATTCTATATTCATCCACTAAAAAAACACTAGAATTATTACCTTTTAACCATCCACAGCCTCCTTAATTAGTACTGATGAACAGAACGTTCCCTCTTAAACCAGGCACCAGGACTGACATCCCTGCTGTTATTTGATCTAATTTATTGAACCTTTGTTAATGTGAATGCTAGAGCACATCCAGGGCCTTAAGAGAGGTCACATTGAAAATAATAAAAATCATTCTTTAACCTCTGTGTTTTTATATGTACGGTATATATAATTTTAACAATACTGGACATAAGTCAGGACACATAAGTATATATACATAAGATGGGTCTTAATGTTTTTTCATGATTACAAAGTGTTCCAGTTCAAGTTTATAAACTCTCATTCAATGAGAAAACGTAAGATTTTAACACCTTCCTGGTCTCATTATTTTTTATATAGTTTGACTGACAGGATGTTCCTAAATTACACCAAGTTCCAGTCAGCTTCTTCTATAAAATATGAGATATGGTAGAATATGTTGGACATTTGCTAGTAGTCGTTGAGGCGCGCTGTACACCACAGGATATTATCTTGTAGACAGTAAAGTTCATTTTTCTAAGAAGTAACATGTTGCAGTAGTTATCTAACATCATAATTTAGATTTTTTTTTTTTTTTACAATTAACCCAAGACATAACTGGTCAATCATTGTAAAATGCCACCTAAGATTATCCCTCCAACAATATGAAATAAAATGAGTGTATGTGCTATAATATAATTTGGAAGTACAATGCAAAAACTAAATCTGTATTAATGAAAATTAGTAGAGAATAGTTAAAAACTATGTAAATGAGCTCATACTTATCCATTGCATGTACTTTCTTTAAAGACTCAAAAACGATAAAGGATTCTTCCATAAAACAACCATTTGTTTTATACCTCTCTAAGGGTATTCCCTGAGGTTTTTCTGACTGAAGTATGTGTGTTGTGTTGTTGTGTGTTTGCAGAGATCAGGTGTACCTCGTCAGCTTGAGAGAATCGTACAGGAATGAGATCATTTCTTACCGGGTAAGATTCTCACCACTAGCTGCTTTCTCAACCCACAATCTCTAAAAGGGCTCCACAGAAAATACTGAGCCATTCATCATCAACCGGACAGGTTGTAAAATGAGCGAGTGGAAAATGGGGAGGGGGGGTGTATTTGAGTGCAAGTCTGTGTATTTTGTTTGACATGCACGTGTCTAATGCACCGTGTGGGTCTTTACAGAAGTTAACGTGGCGATCAGGCCAAGGTGACAGAGACATGTGTGCTGTGAAGGGAAAACATAGAGTAAGTATGCAAGAAAAAAAAGGTTTTGGCAACGTGTCTATCATGAGAAAAGAAAGGTGCCAGATTTTATAAAATGTTGTGTGTTTGATTTCAGGATGAGTGCCACAATTTTATTAAAGTTCTGGTTCCCAGAAATGACGACCTGGTGTTTATCTGCGGCACCAATGGCTTCAACCCCGTGTGCAGATACTACAGGGTCAGTTTTATTGTTAGAATCACATTCGACAGTGCTCATTTGACTGATTTATGCATCACTTGAATATGCGTTTGTTTCCCCTATATCTAATGTGATGTGTGGGTGATTTCTTTGTTTCCTTTAGCTGGATAACCTCGAGTTCGATGGGGAAGAGATAAATGGTTTGGCGCGGTGCCCGTTCGACTCCAAGCAAACCAACGTGGCCCTTTTCGCTGGTACGGGTCTAACACACACCCACCCGCAAAAGTATTTAGTCTTGCAGAAGAAGGAGTAATGTGTTTCTACTTATGTTCTCATTATCACCTCTGTGTCTCTGCCACAGTAAAACTGCCTGCAGTGATAACAGCTCAGCCAATTAAGCTTTATAAAAGAAAAGAAAGAAATGCAGCGAAGAGCAGTGATATGTGTGCGTTCTCTTTTTTTTTTTTTAAGATTTTTTTGTCTTTGAATTTTTGCCTTTTTAGAAGGAAAGCTGTATTCTGCAACGGTTGCCGACTTCCAGGCCAGTGATTCTGTCATCTATCGAAGTATGGGTGATGGATCAGCCCTGAGAACCATCAAATATGACTCAAAATGGCTCAAAGGTAAGCCCACGGCCCTTTTTACTTTTCTATTATATGGCACAGTACAGGTCGATTTCAATTAAATGCAATTTTATCAAAAGCTAATGGGAAACCAGTAGAGAAACTGAGATATTATATTAGTTATTATTGTTATTTCTCAAAGTTCACTATGTTTTAAGGCATCATTATATTAATTTTCATTCTAATTGATTCCAAATTATACAACTCCACTTCTAGAAAAATTTTAATATCACATTTGGCCCCAAAAAGGAACTTTTAAAACATAATACCAGCCTATTAAAAAGGATGTTTATTAAGTGAATACAATATGCACTTCTGTTCAGGTCCTTTAATGATATAATACTGCAAGAAAACCGCACCAAGCTGCGATGATCAGCTTCCTATTCTGCTGAGGTGCTAAGAAAGACCATTTTGGTAGAATCTGTAAGCTTATATTTTTACATGGAGTAACAGTCATTTCCTGTTTAAAATTATAAGTTATCAGTGTTTGATACTTATTTTCCCTCTGGTGTAACTGAGATAAATTTCTAACAGGTTTTATAGCATGCTAAGCTCTTTTACCTCACGTACTTAAACACTTCCTTGTTTTATAAAAGTATTCTGGAAGTTCATTGTAAAATCTAAGACAAATTAACCAGATATGACATTGTGTAACTAATGCTTGCGATATTTTAATAACCCATGGACAGGAATTACAGATTCTTTTTGCATTTGGTATGGCTCTGTAAAATGTAAGATGATATAATCAAATTAAAGGAAAAAGACACTCCTCTAGTAAATGAATAAACCTTAGAGTAATAATTAAAATCATCTCCAAACTCCTTGATCAAACATAAAAAAATTAAAGGTGGTTTATGTCAATGGCTGATTTCCATCCAGCTGAAGGAAATAATGTTGAAGAGAAGGAAACGTATTCAGCAAAACCAGTTTACTTTATAAAAAAAAAAAAACTGCCATCAGTCATCCTGAATTCTCTGAAAATACATGCATCTACCTGCCAGGATACTAAATGCCCACAGTGCCATTGCGTGTACGTACGTGACTGTCAGAGCTTTTTTTGGAGTGATAGAGAACTCTCCTGCCTTGCCAAGCTTCACTGGAATATGGGTTGTTCTCTCCCAGGCAATCTAGGTCACCTCTGTCATATACGGCCGTGTACAAATCTTTGAAATATTCAACATGCACGGCGGTGGTGACGGTGCAGAAATACACTTTAACTCTCTGGCTTCATCTCTCCTTTTTTCCCCCTCAGAACCACATTTCCTGCATGCAGCAGAGTATGGGAATTATGTGTACTTTTTCTACCGGGAGATTGCCGTGGAACACAGCAATTTGGGAAAGGTAAGACAGTTCAACTGCTGAGTAAATCACCTTAAATATTCCTCAAAAATAGTGTGCAAGAATTTCTTTCATTGACGGATGTGTTAGAAATGCTGCCCTAAAGGAGCCTTGGGGGTGATGGCTGTAAATCACATCCCAACGCAAGGGAAATTTCGACACCCACCAGTTACTGGGAATGTCTTCCTAATGTAAAACCATTACACAGAAGAACGATTTACCCCCTACAGACTTTGTGTCTCCCTTACACTCCATCACACACAGTCTTGTAGAGGGAATTAGGACAGTCCGGGTTTGAGGCCGGCTTTGCGTTTGAGCATCTTATCCCGGGCTGGGCTTGCCAAGCCACAGGAAACCAGCATCTTCCATCAGTCACCAGCTACTAAATATTTTAACTCTACTAATGCTGGGGTGTCACCTGGCTTCTGATGGAGGTTTGCACTGGTAAATTATTAAAAACATCTAAGCCAACTCTTTCATGTACCTCATTTACGCTCTCTGCCTCTGTAATATATAAAATCAAACATGCTTTCACACGATGCTGCCTTAAGTACATTTTTTAATGTTTGTTTCAGTTTTAAGCGAACAATCTCCTCACTCTGAGTTAAATATTCGCGTGTGCGTTAAGTGATTTGTGCTGAGTCGCTACAGGATGGAGTTATTTATTATTCAGCAACCTGAAGTGTTTTTAGTGACACTCACGGAGATGCCTTCCTTTTCCGCTCGCCTCAGTCCTCTCTCCAACCTTCTTTTCTCGCAGGTTGTTTATTCCCGAGTGGCTCGAATCTGCAAAAACGACATTGGAGGGTCACAGCGGGTGCTGGAGAAGCACTGGACCTCTTTTGTGAAGGCCAGACTGAACTGTTCTGTGCCGGGGGAGTCCTTCTTTTACTTTGATGTCCTTCAATCTATCACTGACATCATCGACATCAATGGCGTTCCCTCTGTGGTGGGCGTTTTCACAACACAGATGAACAGGTGAGCCTGAAAAATCCAATTCAGGAAGGATATTTCTTAAATTATCCCATTCTTACTAGTCTGTTGTCCCTCTGCAGTATTCCAGGATCAGCAGTGTGTGCCTTCTCCATGACTGACATAGAGAAAGTATTCATGGGCCGCTTCAAGGAGCAGAAGACCCCTGACTCTGTGTGGACGCCGTTTCCGGAGGAGAAGCTCCCGAAACCCCGGTTAGAATTCGAGCTTAAAGCAATATTCCCACTTCTCAAAATATAATTTCAACAAAAGGCAGAAATGAGAAATGAAACGGTTAATGCATGACACGAGTTACTGAACATTGAATTTCTGTGAGCAGCAGCTGCTAACCACCTCGATTCTCTCTTTCTTAATCCTTCTTTGTCATGTTTAAACCCAGTGAAATCAAATCTTTTTCCCAAACAAGCCACCAGGTTATTAGCTTTGATCCAGCGCACACATTTGCCATCTGCTGGTGATTAAATTATTAATTTGGGATAATTAAATGCATTGAATATTTAGCCAGTTTACAGTTGGCACTTATATTGCCAGCCATGCCCTGCATCCAAAACACAAAGTCCACGTTGCACCTCATTACCCGTGTAAATCATTGATGAGGTATAATCATGCATATGTATATTTTATGATTCCAGCTGAGACCTTTTCCATAGCCCAAAAGACACCTGCCACCCCATCATATCCCCACCCCAGACTGTCTCTGCACTTTGTCATTCATTTGTTTTCCCTGGTGTTTGATTGTATAGGCCCGATCTTTGACCTATTGCCCTCTGTGCATGTGCACTCTTCATATCTTAGACCTGGGAGCTGTGCGGGTCATGGTCCAGCTGCATCCTTTAAGAGCTCTGTGGAGTTCCCAGATGACACCCTGCAGTTCATCAAGTCCCACCCCCTTATGGACACAGCTGTGCCTTCGATTGGGGACGAGCCTTGGTTCACCAAGACACGTGTTCGGTAAGTACACATGGAAAAACATCTGTCAGTGGAAAGACAAGAGCCTAACAGATTTATGAGGGCATACGTCAGTACATTACACAGCACTGTTTTGTGTTAAGTACTGACAAATTTATATTTTGTGTGTGGCTATCTCTAACCTGTTTTAGACATTTTTATTCTTTTTTTTTACATATGTATTCTGGCCATTTATTAAGGGGAACTATTTGTAATTTAGGCTTTAAAATGTTCAAGCCTAAAAGACAAGTAACAGCAGCACACAGACTCCCATTTCTTTATCTTCTTTACATAATGGTAAACAAGAGAGAACAAGAATTGAAGCAGCTATGCATTAATCTTAAAGCAGATGACTACCATAGATACTCAGCTAAATATCTATGGTAAAAGTAATGATTTAAAAGTTTAAAACAACTGGAACTTTGACAAACAGTGCTGGATGGCAGTTTAGTACACAAAACATGCATATAAAAACACAGCTGTGACCAAACTTATGCCTTTATAGACTAAATGTCTCGACTCTTTTGTGCACTTAAATATTTGCAGCCACATTTTTTTCTTTTTATCCCCAAACAAGAGGTGTTAATGAAAGTCTATTCTATTATATTCTATTAAAGTTGACAAAACCTTCACCCCCTAAAGACGGGCATATACTGTCGGATATTTTAGATCATTGCACACAGCTACAGCTCACGATGTATGTTCTCACACTGTGCGACCTGACGCTCTGATGCAATATGCTCACACTATACGTCTAAAAACCACGTCAGACTCAGCTCCGCAGTGAGTTGATGCTATTTGGAATCGTTTATCCGGAAGCCAAATGAGTGGAAGAAGAATATGAAGCTCACTAGAGGGAAATATGCTGCCTTAGCAATTTGTGCAATTTTGTGTGCTGAAAGCCCTAAAAAGAAAAGGCGACGACTTATTTGGACAAAGACATGTCTGAGCAAACGTGGCTACTACCGTCTGTCCATTTTACAGAAAGAACTCCATTTCACTCGCACCCCCACCATGCTTTTGTGTTTACGTCTGAGAGGAAGAAGAAGAATCCTTGTTTGCGCACTGAGCGATTTGCCCACGACGGCCGACTAAATTTCGAACATGTTTGATTTTCTCCCGACCTCACAATTCCTGGTGGTGGTTGTGAGAGGCTGACTGCCCCTCGTTACTCCCTGTACACTACACGACGCATGATCAGGCTGAAAGTCGGTCAGACCGCAAAAAATTCTAGCACAACTGGATAATCGGCCCGCAAAGGGCAAAAAATCGTACAGTGTAAGCCTAGCTTTAGACAAACGATAACACTTGTTATTTCCACTGGGTTGTATTTACTTTTATGTGGGATCTGTGATTGGTCCCTATGGAGGTATAGATGTGTGTTTTGACTTTCCTGACTAAGATGTTCATGTTTGACCCACATGTGTTTTCTATAGATCTAAGGTTTAATAAATTCTTGTTTAAGAAACAAGAGAAAGATCTGCACTCACTTGTTATTCAAACACTGAAAACAATGTAATTTTTTTTTTTATTTAACCTGTAGTTACTTTCTTAAAAGCTATCTTTCTCTAAGTAAAGTGGTGTTAGGTTATAGGTAATAGTATGGCATAGTAATAGGTTACTATTTCGTTTTCAGCAGCTGATCAGTTAGATGACAACTATTGGGATAATGCTGCTCAGCATGTGATCCTAGACAGGAATTTAGGTACATTTTTTTATTTAAGGTAATTGCACTTGGTTTTACATAAAGTTTTCATATCTGATTTACACACATTTAACAGTTCTGATTAAACCTACTTCATTGGAGCTGTCTTCATTACTATCTTTAGAAATTAAATATATAATAATTATAACCATATCTCCAATATTTCTCTAATGCTATTCCCAAAGGTACAGACTAACAGCGCTGGCTGTAGACAGTCAAGCAGGACCTCACAAGAACTACACTGTGGTCTTCATTGGAGCAGAGTCTGGGATTGTCCTCAAAGTTTTAGCGAAGACTTCCCCTTTATCCCTAAATGACAGCCTGTTGCTGGAGGAGATTGACGTCTTCAATAAGGCCAAGTAGGTCTCTTCTGAACTTCTACTGTCTCAATGATTTCCTTTTCTGTTTCTTTTCCTCTTGTGTCTTTCTGGTTTCTTGAGTCAGAAAATCTTGAAATGAAAACACACGACAATGTTTACAGTGCATGTGATTATCTCTAGATAATCTAGATTATCTCAAGTGCTACGTGTAGAAGGTTTAATGCCTATTGGGCTTTGAGAGAATGTTTCACCTAATAGTGTTTCAGTTTTCTATGATTTAGGAAGAGGATTGAGTTGTCTGACAGGTGTCCACTTTCTCTTTCCAGGTGCCCATCTAACCGTGCGGATGACAAGCGTGTCCTCTCGCTGCATGTGGACAACAACACACACAGCCTTTATGTCGCCTTCTCAAGCTGTGTCATCCGTATTCCTCTGAGCCGCTGTGAAAGGCACTCGTCCTGCCAAAAGTAAGTGACACCGCTCTTGTTGAGAGGTTATACTGTCACCCATGGGTGTTTGACCTCATTGCGGTGTTTTTTGGACGAGGATCACAGCAGTTTAACCTTATGCTTGATGGTTAATGTTCAATTGTTAACAAAAGATAACGTTTTTTCAATAATTATTAAGCCGGGTGTGGCTGTGTTTGTGTGCCAGGTCATGCATCGCATCAAGGGATCCTTACTGTGGTTGGAAGGCCCATGGTGCCTGTGAGAGAATACAACCTGGTTTATTGTGAGTTCAAGCTTAGGCTGCAAAATATAAATGAAAAAAATATATTCAGAAATGGAGAAAAAAAAACTGTCCGACTTATTGGCAACTCTTATAGTAATCGCCAGGTGTTCTGCTATGTATTTGAAGGAATGGATACGAGCAAGATGTAGAATATGGGAAGACTGCCCACCTGGGAGACTGTCAAGGTATCTCTCTCATTTCCATCCTGTTCCACTGATCGCGGACAAACACACGCTTTTATGCTCACACTTATACACTCTGTACACAAGTAAAACACAAACTCATCTCTACATACACCATGAGCCTGCACACCCGTAACCACTCCAGTAACTTAACCCCTTACATGAGTCTATTCGCAGTATTAACACACACATCTACATACAGTACATGGCCGTCTGTAACAATGGCTTTCTGTGAGGCCCAAACATGGACATGTACAGTGAAAAGGTCATGTTCAGCTTATGCAGATGATAATTTCTTCTCTTGTAATTGGAAAATTATAGTCTTCAAGCATCTTACTTAAATGTAGTTTTCACCTCATGCGTATCAGCTAAACATGACCGCGGCTGAACCTCCGTATTGATCAGAACCAGAGGGCTTCCAGTTTTTCCAGGAAGTGCTAAATATCTATTCTCATAGAAGATTGTGAGCATTTGGTTTTATTTGAACTTCTGAATTCCCTTATAATTAATTTCTTGTCCTTTTAATTCTTTTAGTGTTTTTGGGCACTACCTCAGCGCCAGGTGTCAAATCATTTGGCGACCCTACCTCTGGTTAGTTTGATCTTTTACTCAACTGGTTTCTTTTCTTGAGTTCAGTGAGTTCAGTTTTTCTTTCCCTCATTTCTACTTTTCATCTCTTGCACCAAAAAACTACTAACGCTTCATTATCCACCATCTCAAAAAAGGTGATCCACATAGGTGCTCTCCCCACAGCACATAGCCACTCATTGCATCATTTCCTTTCCTAATACATCTGTCTTTCCTTAAGCATGCCAGCAGTTCATCTCTTAGCCTCCCCAATGTTGTGTACCAACTCCTCAAGAACTGTGATTTCGTGTTTTTCTACCTGTTTAAAAATACTTAGATTTGTAATGTTTGGTCTTTATATGTAAAAAAAAAAATAATAATAAATCTTTTTTTCTCTCAAAGATGCTCTGCTAATGTCTACTAACTAGGGTGACATGCTTTACACTCACCTGCACTATTTGTTAACCGTTTGTTTGTCACCACAGACATGGAGTTTTCATCTGCATCAGTCACTGTCCAGCCCAGTGAGCCCATACATCCCCCAGTACTCATACCCAGTAAGAGCCCCAGCTCAGGGCCTCTACCAGAGCACTACGGCTCAGGCTTTGTGCTACAAGATGACCCAGCCACATCTCATTCTTTAAACTCTCTCCCAGGGGGGCCAGAGGGTAAGGCTCATAGGAAGACCATCAAACTTCAAAATCTAATAGTTATTAGCAACATTTTTTTCATAACAGAACCATCTTCCATTGTTATTGACACCCTTGGTAGAGATAATGTCTAAAGCTATTTTTTTTAATGCCTCTTCTTATGCAATAAGAACAACTGGCATTACAAAAAAGGAACAATTAGGCAATTTCTAAAAAAAAAAAACTGTTATATTTGAGTACATATGTTTGGTCTTATAAAATAAATTTTTTACCAAAAATGGTTTCTTTTTTGAAGTTCATCGTAGCCTTTATAATGTTGCAGTGGTAATCAATAATTTTTTGTTTGTGCAGGGTATAAATATTTCATGACACAAAGCCCAATTTCTCTTAGCTTCTCTTTGGAATGGAATGGAAATGTAAGAGAACATGTCTGTTAAGTAAAAAAGATGTATGCTATATTTCACAAGTCAACAAATGGCTCCAGTTGATAATCATCTAAATGTTTGTATAACAAAAGTCAGATCAGAAATTAAAGATTGATACAACTTAACTTAACAATATCCGAAAATGAGAACAGGGAAGCAGTTAAAAAATGTTTGGGGGTTTTCTTCAAACAACAATTTTCAACTCATACATGAGAATTGTAGAGAAAGAGGCATATTTCTAATGTTTATCGTTACCAGGGATACCAATAACTGTGGAAGGTGCTCTATGCACATAATTTCTGTATTATTTACGTTGCTTTTTCTATGTAACCTCTTTCATTTCTGTAAATCCTTGTGTTTTTATTTTAATTTTTTCCGTGCAAATGATTTACTTCCTATCATTTAATTATTACTACTACTATCCTTCTTTGTTGTCATGAACTCTGTTTTAAAACCTTTCTTTTTTTTTTTTTTTACCATTATTTCCTCCATAGATATGTTAACTAGCTTTAGTGACAGTTTATCATGGCTGGTAGATCATTGACTGGGCCCCCTGTCCCAGACCACTGCTATGGCTGTACAGTGAATGACTAACTCCCTTCAATGTCTGTGGTTACTAACAAACCTTCGTAGAGCAGAAGCTTCACGAATAATTTGGATGCAAACATTACTTTTCTGTCCTGAACGATTTTCCACAGTAAAAAATAATTTTTCTTTGGCTCCATCACAAATTAGGGAGCACTTCTTACCTGTGGATGCTGTATGCATGACACATTCTCTTCTTAAAGGCTGATCAAATCAACACTTTGGAACTAATACGCTCTTTCTGTAGATGGCGAAATGGATTTGGGTGCAAAACAATGACTGTCAGTTTTCACCACCTTTGTCCTTAATCTGGTTTGAACTAGTTTAGAGATTTTAAACGTAGTGGATTTGTGTATAGTAGCTGCTCTGGGTATATTCTGGAGTAAATGTAATTTAACAGTCCCAGGGACCAGTGTTTGTACTGGGGTGTTCACAGGTGTATTACTGTATTTTAGGTGTATCGGATATCTATACAGGTGAAAGCAACCAAATGGTCCACATGAACATCCTCATCACCTGCGTCTTCGCTGCTTTTCTAATGGGGGCTCTCCTGGCCGGGCTCATCGTTTTCTGCTATCGGGACTCTGTCCTCCATAAACCAAGACATGCCCACAAGGACACGGAGTCTGCACCCTCCTGTTCTGACTCCACTGGAAGTTTTGTTAAACTTAATGGCCTATTTGATAGCCCTGTAAAGGTAAAACCAGACAATTTAATTTATCTTCCATCATGTTTTGGCAACATGTACTTCAAAATTTAACAAAGCTGTGTCTGATCTTGCCTTTTTGCATCCACTTTTATGTTCTTAGGAGTACCAAACCAACATTGATTCTCCAAAGCTCTTCACCAATCTGCTGAGCAATGGTAAAGACATCAATACGCCCAATGGTGACACCAAGACCATGATCTTGAGGGACAGCTGTCAGCCCCCTGAGCTGGCCGCTCTGCCCACACCAGAATCCACCCCTGTTCTCCAGCAAAAAGGCTTACAGCCCATAAAAAACCAGTGGGAAAAGGCTCATGGAAAAGTCAGCGGATCCCGTAAAGAGGTCAACCCATCAGCCAAGGGTCCACAGTTCCTTTCTTCACCTGCACCTACTAATACAAATCCCAACCACCCTCACCTTGCTCTGGGACACTCCAATATCCCCAGTGCAGTGGTGTTACCAAATGCCACACATGACGAGCCTAATCTGGACAATTGTGATGAAACTTTACCACATTCATCTGAAAAGAAACTGAAGAATCCAGATTGTAGGGGTAGCAGAAAAGATCAGAAGAGGTCTGTAGATGCAAGGAATACACTAAATGATCTTCTAAAGCATCTCAATGACTCTGTGGCCAATCCCAAAGCCATACTACAAGAAGAATCGGGGCCTTGTCCAAGGCCTCACCTCACACTGGAGCCCATGGAGGAACTAACTGAAGTACCCCCAGCCGTGCCCAGTCGTGAGGCTTCATTGTACTCTCCCTCGTCCTCTTTACCAAGACACAGCCCCACCAAAAGGGTTGATGTGCCCATGCCCTCTACACCCACTTCACCCACAGGAAGCTTGAGCATGGGGGGCACCTTGGAAAGGCAAAGAGGGAGTTACCAACTCCACCGGAGTGCCTCTCACAGGCAGTCCTTATCAACCCCAACAAACGGAGTAACCATGGGGGTATCTGTGTCTCGTCAGCACAGTATGAATAGGGGAGGATATATGCCCCCAACGCCCCCCTCAAGACTTGACTCTCATGGTGCAATGGTGGCACCCGGGATGCACTCACCTCACCTACCTTCTGTTTCCAGACAGAGCAGCTACAGTGGGCATGGCTCGCTTCCCCGAACAGGGCTTAAAAGGACCCCATCATTAAAGCCAGATGTGCCACCAAAACCCAATGGGTTTCCTCCACAGACTCCACAAATGAAAGTGTCTAATAAATACAGTTATTAAATTGGACAACTGTGGACATATCTAAGTAAGCTCTTGATCAGTAGAGCTTTGTGCTCAAGGGCTTGGGCTGTCTAGATGGGATAAGGCTTTGTGTGTGTTTGTGTATCAATTTGAGGTGCTTGTCCTCTTTAAATGATACGCCCATTCACTCGCATTGAAAAAGGGAAAACACCACATGGCCAAAGAAACCTACTGAGGCTCCCTTCAATCCCATCTGCTTCCCTGCACCCAGTGGCCACATGGAAATGAATAGCAGACAATGGTGAGTTTGCTGCTCACCATTGTTCCTGAACTTAGATGCTACCTGTTTCCACGTAAGGTACAAGGTTGCTCAACAGGTTGCTGTGACATACGTGGAGGGGCAAAAGTGGTGGAATACTTGGAGAATTGTTCTCAGTTGTTACTGCCCTTGAGCACTGTCTTCCCTCAAATGTGAACTGAACAGAGAAGAGGTAGGCGATAACTATGGTTGTGATGCGCCTGGAAAAAAAGGAAAGTTAATTTTCATAATGTGCATTCTGCTTTGGATGCATCTGACCATTAAACAACTGAATAAAGTAGCAAGCAAAGAAAAAGAGGCAAATGCTTGAATGTGTCTTAGTTGACCAGATAAGCAGATATTTTGAAAGGTCTTGGGAGTTGCCACAAGTCAGCAAAAGCACCTTACAATGTGTTGGAAGACCTAAGTCACTGTCTTTTAATCCAATTTTATAATCTGAACCAAGTCTGAACAGATTTTTGTGTCATTCATTCATGATCATTTGGTCGGGTTTGGCTAAGGTTAGTTATGTTGGGATTATGCAGAAGCAGGGACTTTGTAACTCACTGGGAAATTTGACTTGACATTTATTGCTATGGGTTTAAGACAAAGTATTCATCATTAATGCATTGTTTTCTCAGCCTTGCTAGAACAGCTATGTGTGTGGACATTTGCTTGTCTCTGAGTATGTGTGTTATACTGTAAACAGAGGTGGAAAAGTACTGATCTAAGCACTTCAGCACACTGTTTAGACTAAAACATTGGGTTAAAATGTTTTCCAAGACTGAAATGTATGGTATTCTTTATTCCCCATATGTAGTAATTCTATTGGTCTTCTATCTACTAGTTTTATTAAAAGTATGTTTCTCATTGAAAACTTTTTAAACAATATTTTCTACCCTTTTGTTTTCCTTCTGTAAAATCTACCACTGTGAAAGTAACCAAAGTCTTTTATTTAATGACATTTCAAACAAATATTCAGTTAAGCTAAACCCCCTTATAAAACATGTCTACCAGACGTTTGCTCCTGCAATAATACTATTGCAGACTGACAAAACTGATCCTAGAACAGTGCAACAATATGATACTTGTGTCACAAGCTCCACAGCTTATGCTCCTGGTGCGCTTTTCCACCAATGGCCAGTGTACAATCAGCTCAACATTGACTAATATGTCCAAATAAGTCATGCTGGTAATGACAAGGTCCTGTATATACTTAAATAATATAAATAAGGAGTTTAAGTATTTTTAGGCAAGTGAACCTGAATCTGTGCATTGTGTGCCTTATTTACAAAACAAATTAGTACAGTATATGTCGAAGGCTATGTCAGTTGGTCCTCTGTTCATATCACATGTTTTTTAAACACGTTTTTTTATATAAACAATCTGAAATTTAGGACAAGGTCGTCAAAAGAAGCCATTAACTAATTAATTCCACCCAGGAGTTTAAGTCTCAAATAAGTCGAGCGAAAAATACTTATTGGGTTTCAATAATGTATTCCATTTTACTGCCAGTATTGCAAAGATTTGTGATATCCACAACAAAGTGATGCCATGAACTGAATGTACTTTCATAACTATGGGGTGTAGGGCGGTCAGCTGTTCCGCCGTCGTGTGGAAGCCTAAACACAGCCCATCATTCTCACAGCCAATGTATTAACAAAGACTTCAAGTGTTCTGATGAAAGCTGTCTCTTGGCAATGTAATTTCCAAAACCTAAGGGGAGATAGTTTTTTTTATTTTCTAAAGGCCAGAAAGGACAAATGGGGTTTCATTTCTTGTAGCAGTGCTTACATTATTTGGTTGACCTCTGCAGTCATTTTTTTGAGTGTCAGTTGCCTGTTTAGCCCAAAGCCACATTTTGTTTACAAGTGGTGATTGTATGTAGAGGCTTTCTCCCCTTCATCTAACCAGTGTTGGGGCTTTGTTTTCTACACATGCACAGTGACATCACAGACATACACTCAAACACTGCTCAACTGCCTTGTACATTGCAATATGACCTGGGTCTTTTTGTTGCAATACAAACTAAAGCCTTTATATTTCAGTCAGTCAGTCTTTGATGTCTGTGCAGACCGACCATGCTATCTCACGTACGTTTATTTAAATGCTGTCCATCAATGCACAGCCGGCTGTATATTTTGTCTCAAGAGTATTTGGGCGTGTAGATATGTTGTACTGTGAATGTGTAAATAATTATGCTTTTTCTGGTTTCATATTTTTGTTGATTTTTTTTTTTAACACGGCACGTATAGTTGAAATAAAACATTACTGCACAGAAATAGTGTCCCTGAATCTTATTAGCAAAATCATTTTCAAAATTGTGCTTAATGAAACAGGATACCATTAAATAAAATTATACATTTTTTAGCAATTTGACATGTTTACTGTAACATGAATAAATTAATCATTAAATGAAAACAAGGGACTGAAGCTTTTTATGCTCCAATCTCATCAGGGAAATGATCAAGTTTGTAGATGTTTAATGTTTGAGGTCAGCATAGAGTTTGTGAAGCAACACAGCATGTGGGAATTCCTCCAAACTGATATGTTCTTCTGCTCACTAAACATCTGGACAAACTATTTCTTAAGGCCTAAGAACTAAGCCCCAAATGAGCTGTGGAGGAATTACAGTAAATGCATTTCAGATCATGTACTGATAAAATCTGGAGCATGACTTTGCAAAAATGTCTCTGATAGGATAAATTGTAAGTAACAGTTCAAAAGGCAAAATGGGTGGATAACTATCACTTTCAATCCATAGATTCTGACTAATTTAAAAATAATCAAATTATCTTCATTGACGTATCAATATTAAAGGTATAGTGGAGGATTTTCACGGAATTTTGAATAGATCCGCCCTCTTCACTTTAAAGTAAGTTTAAGAAGTAATTCAGTTTGTAGGTTTGCCCAAGTGAGTTTAAGTTTTGAAATTATAAACTTCAAAAATGAAGTTGGAGCAACATGATTCAATTACTTAATTTGCAGCACCATTTTATTTTTAGAGTGCAACTTTTAAATCTTCACCTCAGTGAAAGTAATACGGTGGGCTTTGTAAATACAAACAGGGAAGCAAAATATCTGCATTCATTCCAAGAGCTGAATATCATAGCTGAAAGGCAGTGGTGGACCAAGTACTCAACAGTAGTACTTTAGCGAAAGTATTGATACTCATAATCAAATCTTACTCTACTATTAGTAAAAGTTACTCGGTCAAACATCTTCTCAAGATAAATTATTTAAGTACTCACTTTTGAAAATACTTAAGTATTGAAAAGTATATGCATTTAACCCTGTAATGCCAACCGTATGTATCAAATATGATACATACGGTTTCTGAAATGTTTTGCATCTGACACCTTTTGCATAATTTAATGGCAAAAACTTTGCTCAAAATCCTATTGTACACAATCAGATATACCTGATAACAGAGGGCAGAAGACTACACAAAAAATAATCTTGACTTATCGCATAGTAATAAATTATTAATATCAAAAATTCTTTTTACATATTTTGCTTAAAGGCGAAATAAGGACTTCAAACCAAAGAAAAGTAAATTTCTGGTTTGTTTTATTCTTGGATCAGGCTTAAAAGCGTTAAAAGTATTAAAGTATTCAAAAATACAAATAAGATTTTGTAATATTACGTTTCTGTCCAAATATCGGAGCAATTTTAAAGGACCTTGTAACGTTTAGAAACAACTGGATGTACTGACGAGTAGAACCACTCTGCTACCACATCTGCATCACATTGTGGCAGTTTTATGCTGAAGTTCTTCAGCATGAAAATGCCACAATGTGATCCAGATAAATTCCGCAAAATATAGAAAAAATTATTTTGACTATTAATTCATTTAAAAACAAGCCTAACACTTTCTCCATGGAATAAAGGTTTAAGGTTCAATCCATTATCACAAAAAGCTACAACTCTGATAGGAGAACTAATCCTACTGAACAACTTGACCACAAGGCAACAACTAACACCTAAATAAAATGTATAAACTACAAATAATATCTGCACTGAGTTTCTCAAGTTTGTGGAATGTCATGCCAACCTCTACAACACTGGTGTCAAAATTCGGTCCTATTCGGTACTTACAGATTTCTATCAATGTAGTGGAGAAGAAAGTACAATATTGTAGGGGGGTGAAAGTTATAAGTACCCCTCCCAAAAAAAATCCTGAAGTAAAGATGCTCAAAAATGGTTCTTATGTACAGAAATCAAGTAAATGTACTTTACTACTTCCCAATACTGCTGAAAGATAACATAAAAAATCTGTAGAAAAGTACTGTATTACTTTAGAAAAGACAGCAAATAAAGCTACATTTCTGATACTAAAAATCTCTTAGGTTTACTGTAAAATAATTAAAAACCTGTTCCTTTAAAAGCATTTAAACATGTCAGTTTGCAAATACATTTTCAGAAAAATAAAAGCAACAGATTGTTTTATGGTGTGACGACTAAATGTCTGTAACCCTAAAGGTTGGTTGCCATCACGGTGCCCTGAGTCTTAGTTACCCAGCCTTCAATCTCCAGTGGATTGTTTGTAATATGCATTTTTACTTCCAGTGTCATTTATTTAAAGTAAGAGATGCTGAGGTTGTTGCATCTGTATCATTTTTCTGACTATACTTAAAGAGGAGCAATTCAGTTTGTGAAGGGAAAAGGGAAAAACTTGCAAGCTGCATATAAAATATTGTGATTTTAAGCATAAAAAACAAAAGATCATTTTAAATTACAATTCATTAATTGTCACACCAAATATTGTTGCATTTGCCGCCGAGGAAACATGATGGAAGTACCAACTATATCACTTCAAATAAAACAAGGACTCCTTTATTCCTCAGCAGTTAAATCAGGAACAAAATAACATTTCTTCAAAAATGGAAGAAATCTTATCAAATTTTTAATAAGGATGGATGTGTCACAAAATTGAACCCTAATAATGCAAGCACTACTCGTCACCTGAAAGCCTACGTACAATTTATTTTATATTTCTATGTGTTTGATTATGAACTAATTTTATTTAGTTTTGTCTTATATTTGTAATCATCACCCTGAGTTCATGGCAAAAGTTGTATTTATTGACTGAATCAATATTTACGAATTATTTTTTTTAATAGCCCTCTGCCCCAGCAGCGGAAGGCAGGCACTTAAGATATATTATAATTAAAAATTACCAGAAAACATGTGTTGTGGAGGAATAAACTGACCTAAAACTCTGTAAAAGCTGCATAAATATTTGCATAACAATTCTCACCAAAACTCTGTCTTCTGTTGTTACAAAATAATCATAAAAAAAATAAGCTGCATTTGCAAAATCCACTTAAGTGTTATATTATTATTATTTTCTATTTTTTCTTTTTCTTTTTTTTTTTTTTTACACCTTTATGTGGACTTTGTAGTTACTTTATATAGGTCATAAAGTGTTATCACTAACAGAATGACTAGGTTATGGTTTTATGTTTGTGACAGAAACCTTAATCTCTTTCACGTTCTGTTCTAAACAATATGCTGACAGACAGTCCTTCCATAGAGGAGAAACCTGCTTTGCGTACTAATTTTCATAAACAGCACTGTTGTTGTTGGCTTTACCTCCGCAATGGAAATCCAAAGAGGAGAATGACATAGTAAAACAGAATTTTTTAGCAGTTAAACAGACATTTCCATGCTACATTGTCAAAATCTATCTCATCATTCTAGAAAAAGAGGGTTTTGTGATTTTTAATCTTTTATGATAAACTCATAGGTTAGTTAGGCCATTGTCAGATGTAACATTTATATGAACTTAGTAGCTGTTCTTTATATGGTTTTGACTTTCAGATTTTTTGAAAATGTTGTAAATTTAATGTTTTCAAATTGGTAAGTGAGCTAAAACAGAAAAGGAGAAGGAAGACGATGTAGGTCAAAGTGAGTTTAGGGGCAAAGTGAGGGAGCACCTCCTGTTTTTTTTTACAGGCTGCTGTTGAAGCCCTTCGGGTGCTCGGCCGGGATGGCGGGGGTTGCGGCTCATCACTGCCGTCTGAATGTTGACACAAGTACTCCTTCATTTGCTTTCAACAGGACCTCCCGAAAACTCACACCTCTTAGCAACCAGCTCATTCGTTTGCTCTCTCGCTAACACACACACAGACACACATATAAGGGAAACATTCGCCCCTCTGGGTGTTCTAGTGGGGGTTGAGTGTGATTTGCTTGTGAATGGGGAACACAAAGAGACGCCTCTTGCTATTCTGAGGTACATCCCATCCTCTCAATTTATCAGATGGTCTATTTGAATTAGTAGAGGCAAATCAAACAGAGCCAATGATTCTGTAGCCATTTCATTCATTTGTCCGTCCGCCTCGCCACACTTAGTCTCATTACCAGCTCCACACAGCATGCGCATGTTGTAATGCAGACGTTTCAGTGTTGACAAGTGTGTACTTTCTACCAAAATGCTTTAAAGCAGTTTCAGGACAAAAAATAAGAACACATCCCATCTGTTTTTATGAGAGGAAAGCAGCAAGGTCACTCATTTAGATGGAGCTAGATGAAAGGGATGGCATATTACAGGTTGAGTCTAAAATCTGCCTTACTTGGAAACATGTCACACAAACATAGGAATAAAGAAGGCACGCAAGCTCCAAAAAGCTCATTCAAAAAAAAAAAACCACATTTCCACTTTTTGCCTTTACCCTCCCCAATTCTACATGAACAAATGACGATGATTAGAATAAAACTCATACAGACTACTGATCCTCCTCTTGCTCTCTTTCCTCAGAAGGCCCTAGGAAAACCTGCAATTACTTTTAGATGCTGCAGTGACAGTAAAACAGTTTCTTTTTGAGCTTAAGCAAGTAAACTCACTTTTTTTAGATGCATTAAAATCTGACTCAGTGTCCAGGAAATACTTTATTTGAAAGTGGCACTAAATTACAGGGAAGGAGATGCCAGAAGTCCTTTGGAGCCGGATTGAAAAAAGAAAAACTGACACTTTTGCTGAACAGTTTCTGCAGTCGCAAAAAGAAAGAAAAAAAAACCTATCACAATCTAATCCACCTTCCACTGACAGTTGGTTAATGGCAGCCATTGCTTTTAAAAGTGACTTTAAAGGCAGTCTGGCTGCAGGCAGTGAGGAGAGGAAGATCGTTCAAAAAGAGGAATGGAGAGCATAGAACAAAGAAACAGTGCTGCATGGACTTTTACAAGTTTAATGCAGACATTTGAATGGTAAATAAACCACAAACAAACCCATCTAACGAAGGCAAATAGCACTGCTGACATGCACATTTCT